TGACTCTGTGAACTGGAGCACGCCAGGATTCCCTGTCCTTCAGTACCTCCTGGAGTTTGCTCAAACTCGTGTCCATTGAGTGATAATATTAAATTAAATTAGTCAAATTATTTTGAAAATGTTATAAGAAAATTGATCATTCTAAGAGCAAGACCTCTAAAACATTTCTTTCATATTTGGATAGTATCAAACCATCCAAAACATTTAATCTTTCATACAAGCAGTGGATGAAGTATAGGTAATTCTTTGGTCATTTTATTAATTTTGTTTATAGTACACCTCAATTTAAGCACTCAGAGTTGGGATTTTTTGCATTCAATCTCACTGGGCTATGACCACAGATTTATGTTGGAATTCCTAAATAAACTTACCTGGTGGAAGTTCTCTGGCACCAGAGAAAACTACAGAGACCCTTGGGTGGGTCAATTAATACAAATGTTTCCATAATGAGCCAAGAGGCATTTAGGAACTTGGGATCAATTAATTTGTAAGCCAACCAACAATTTAAGAAAGTAGCTAGAGCATTTAAAGGGACAGTTAGTCCTTTAAAAATGTAAGTTATATTAATGTAACCTTAAAAAGCATCTTCATGTGACATTTGAAGCTCTTACTAATGGCATTTGTGGTCAGGGAAACTAAGTTTAGAAACAAATCCAGTGAAATAAATGAAAATCTTCTTTGCCTCCTATTTCAATTTCTAGAAAAAAAAAAAAAGAACTGTACAGTTGAATGTTCAAATAACTACTGAGAGCTGAGACCACACGGCATTCTACAGTTTAATTAGCAGGACCAAAGTTTAGACCTTCTGTATCACCATGACTTTATCATTTGTTCCAGCAAATTCTTGCTCAAAGAAGATAAGACTGTAAATCAGTAAATAACTTCACTGCTTGCTTCAGGAACTTTCCCCAAAGCAACAGACTGCTCAAACAGCCCCCGCCTCTGATGAAACAACTGTTTATTTATAAATACTTGCTTTAAAACACAGACCTTTCTGGGCCCTGTTGTTGTTGCTAAATCGTGTCCAATTCCTTGTGACCCCATGAACTGCGGAGCACAACGTTTCCCTGTCCTTCACTATCTCCCGAAGCTTGCTCAAATTCATGTCCATGGAGCAGGTGATGCCGTCCAGCCATCTCACCCTCTGTCGTCCCCTTCTCCTCCTGCCCTCAATCTTTCCCAGCATCAGCGTCTTTTCAAATGAGTCGGCTCTTCGTATCAGGTGGTCAAAGTATTGCAGCTTCAGCATCAGTCTTTCCAAAGAATATTCAGGGTTGATCTCCTTTAGGATTAACTGGTTTGATCTCATTGCTGTCCAAGGGACTCTCAAGAGGTTCAGTCTTGAATAGAGTCACCCTGGCTTATTTAACATTATCAGATGACATTTTTGCTTTGGCAAGGTCTTTCAGGTATTTGATGTTCAGTCTTCATTTTCTTACATAAGAAATGTACGTTTTTTAATGTACAACTCACTCTTTGTTGAAATGAATGTTAAGGTTACTAAATGGGATTTTCATTTCTATTTGGATCTTATTTTTACTTCCTCAGAGAATTCAACAATATCTAATTGATTACTCATTCTAATTAATGAATATTTGGAAAGACTCAAAACACAATGCTTCAGATTATTTGCAAATGCAATATAATATATCAAGCAAGGTGAAAGAAACCTGTGAAACTACAGGTAATCATATTTTCCGTTAGGTACTAAACATTACCTAATTAACAGCAGGCATTGCTCTTAGTGTTAATTTACATAAAATTCACAAAACATTATGAAATTATTTAGATTATTATTTCTATAACACAGATTAAAGAAAAGAGAGAACAGAATGGTCATGGAACTTGTCCAAGCAACAGAGAAAAGTCAGACAAAGAAAGTCTGGATTTTAAATCTGTGTTTAAACCACTATGCTATACTTAATCTCTTCCTTATGGTTAAGTGTTTACATTTATTTTTACTTTTATTACTTTTTTTTTTGCTTTGGAGAAACTAAAGAAGAAACTCAGCCTTTTTTTTTTTTAAGTTCTCATTAAAACCTTAGATTTGGATCAGTGCATCATGAAATACTCACTGTCACATAGATTTTTACAGCTGCATTAAGTATTAAAAATACATATTTGAGAAACATATAAGATTTTTAGAAGCAAATATACTCATTTCAGATTCCAAAATAAAATAATTTCTGACTTCTCACGAAAGTTACAGTTCCAAAGTTTCTCTAGAGTTTCATCGTATGGAGCAAGCCAGGATAAAAAGTTCTTCAGATCAAAGTCACTTTTTTATTCAAAGGAGTTCTGAGGGTCAAAGGAGCCGCTGACGCTGGCAGTTCCAGACTTCTGTGGAAGATGCCCTTCAAGTCGGTCCACCGAGCCAGGTGCCGGCCAGCCACCCCACTTCCTAGACCACATCCTCCCTTCTGGCCAAGGCGCTCTAGTCAGCGCCTCAGACATCTGATTATGTGAACTGACAATGCAAAATCCTCAGGACACTTGATATATAATCACGGTCTGCCTTTTGGGAATTTCAAAGTTCCTGGCACCATAACAGTCAGCCTCTTATGAACTTTTGCTTCATATTATCTCTGTCACATACTAGTTTTAAGCTCACAGTAAAGAAATACCAACATTATAAACAGTTCCTATATTGTGAAATGTTTCTGTTATTTTAACATATCTGTCAAAGAGGACCCATTCTATCTAATTATGCCCTCCTCCACCCTAGTCATTTTTAATAAATGATTTGTCATTGGCATATATTCCATGTGTATCCACTTTCATAACTGTGACATTTTGCTCTTTGGTAACTAGAATTGTTAAATAGTTAATTTATAAACTGAATTAAAGTGCTAGATGGGGTTTTAAATGAGATTTCTTCCAGAAAGAAAAAAAAAAACAAAAAACAAAACTTGTAGAGAAACAAATGTTTTTCTAATTATGTATATTACTAATTAACATCCTGAACTTCAAGAAGGATGTCATTATATATATAATATTATATTATACTACAAATATGCTATAATTATGCTTATGCTCTTTAAGCCTATTGCAAAGTAATATTTTAGATGTGAAAAGTGCAGTCATGTATTTGAAACTTTCCAGTACCTTTTTTTAAAAGTCAAAGTGATTATTTTTAAGAACTCAGGAGGAAATTAATATTGTGGAAAGAAAGATTCATTTTTTAAAGTCCTACACAAGTATTTTCATTCACTTTTTGTCTCTCTCTTCCCATTTCTTTCTCTAAGTTTTACCTTCATGAAAAGTGTTTGCAACACCAAGTATAAGACTGAAATTCAGGAAGATGTGCCATTTAAAGAATTTCTGGCATTATGTAGTGCAAGAAAAAAAAAAATATATATATATATATATTTGAGTTGAGCTCAAACTCAATATTTGAAATATATATATATTATTGAAAAGAGTCATATATATATGAGAAGAATCACTTTTCATAAAGAACTAAGCATGCCAATCAGTGGAGGGGAATTACTTTTCAAAACACGGAGACAGCAGGCAAAGCCAATCAGCTTCCTGACAGCTACCACCTTTCAGCAGCGAGCATTCCTGCTGCTATTGCCCCGCTTTACCCTGGAGGACAGTGGGGCTCAGTGGGGAGAAGGAGCTGGCCTGCGGCTGGCGAGGGGCAGAGCTGGCCTGAAACCAAGCCTGCTGACTTCAGAGACCCTCTTTAATAACAACACTAATCTTTCCTCTCTGGAGGTTAAGCTTACTCATTAGCTAAATCACTCATTAGCTAAATCACTCATTTGCTAAGTCATTCATTTGCTAAATCATCCTCGCATATCTGCCTTGCAGTATTTTGACTCAAATTTGTTCTTCAGTAAAATTTCAAATTGCTACAAGTCATGAGTCCTCGGGGTCTCTACACAGAACAGCTAAATCTGTTTGTATGAAAGGTCTACTCTACACTTGTGTGTGTTCAGTCGCTCTGGTGTCCGACACTGCGACACTTTGGATTGTAGCCCACCAGGCTCCTCTGTCCTTGGGATTTTTCAGGCAAGAACACTGGAGAGGCTTGCCATTTCTTCCTCCAGGCGATCTTCCTGACCCGGGATGGAACCCATATCTCCTGTGTCTCCTGCATTGCAGGCAGATTCTTTAACCACTGAGCCATCGGGTAGTGGCCTAAAATAAATTATTTTAGGACAGAACTGAGATTAAATGAGATACAGTAAACTTTATAGCTCTAAGAATTCACTAACAACAGGATTGCCACCAAGTCTCTAATTTTAAACAAGATATACTGATGAAGGCATTCTAATATCCTTTGATTTAATATATCTACTAACTCTACTGTATTCTTTAAAAATATTTGAAAGAAAAACAAACAAGAGGGAAGAGGTTTTGATCATTTGATACTGAAGTAACCCCTTGACCTTACTAAAGATTAAGATCTGAATCCTAGTGTTTCTGACCACCCAAAGAGGTTCTGTGGTAGCATCTGGTTCTTTGAAAATGAAGATCTTCTCTTTTATTAAATACAACTAAACTGATCTGACAAACATACACAAATTGGATTGCTTGCTAAAAGTTTGATTAGGGTAATTAGAAAGCAATTACATTATGTCATTGATATCATGAGAAAGTCACTGAAAAAGTGTTCATTTTGTACATAGTTGAATAGATTTCCTATCATGAAACTTCTATGACTGAAATTAACCCATACCTCAAATTCGTAATAAATGAAATACTATCTTGAAATAATTTGCTCAAAATAAACATTTGTCACAAAGACCTATCTGAAATGATTTAAAAGTCTAAAAGTCTTTTTTGCTGTGCTTTCCAACTCCAGAGGGGAAAAGAAAACCCAGTGACCTTTTCTTTTCTATTAAAAACAGGCTATTATCACATAAAAGCAATCCCACAGACTGAACTATGAGTTATGTTACTTCACTGCAAAACACATAAACAGATACACTGAATTTGACTTTTTAGGGGCTTCTGTAATGCAATTAAAATGATCTGTAAGCATCTTTTAGGTGAAACTCACTGGAGGATACAGGATGAAAACCACTCGCTGCCCTTGTCGAAGCGTCTCCTGCACAGCGGTAAGAGGGAAAACCTGAGGGCAAAAAGGTGGGAGGCGCTCTGGGGGTGGAGGGGAAGGACCCAGCGGGTGTAAGCAGTGGTACAAGCAACTCTTCCCGGCAAGGGAGATGCCTGACGTGGGCCCTGCAGGACCAGGAGTGTGAGAGGCGTCCTCTGTTCCATGACTGTGTGGTTTTCACACGGTTCTACCTGATCAAGTCATAGAAATACCACGAGCTCCGGCAGAAGTACAGGCTGTGGGCTTAGGCCATGTGGAAAGTGTTCCCTTATCCTTATTTCTGCCTTCTGCATCAACGTGATGATCTCAGCATGGCGGTTAATTTTACATGTCTGCTTGCTTGGCTGCCAGGGTCCAGATATTTGGCCAAACAGTCCAGATGTTACTGTGAAGGTGTTTGTTACATGACATTAACCTCTGACTCCGTAGACTTTGGGCAAAGCAGATAACATGGGTGGGTCACATCAAATTAGCTAAAGATCTTAAGAGAGAAAAGACTGAGGTTCCTAAAGAGGGATTTCTGCCAGGAGACTGCCTGTGGATTCAAGACTGCAACATCAACACTTCCCTGGTCTCCTGCCTGCCAGCCTGTCCAGCAGATTTTGGACTTGCCAGCCTTCATAATTGTGAGCCAGTTCTTTAAAACATCTCTCTCTCCTGTTCACACACACACACACACACACACACACACACCCCTCCCTGATGGATCGCTCTGTGCAGGGCTTAGTCGCTCAGCCGTGTCTGGCTCTTTGTGACCCCGTGGACTGTAGTCCGCCAGGCTCCTCTGTCCATGGGGATTCTGCAGGCAAGAATACTGGAGCGGGTTGTCATGCCCTCCTCCAGGAGATTTTCCCAACCCAGGGATCAATCCCAGGTCTCCCGCATTGCAGGCAGATTCTTGACTGTGTGAGCCACTAGAGAAACCTTCTTTCTCAAGAGAATCCCAAATAATATGCTCAGGGACCCCAATGAGAATGTAGCTTTTCAACCAAGGAAGTTGGTAATATCCTTCTATGCTCACGGTGGAGCAGACAAGTCAAACACAGGAGAGCGAACATCCATGTTAAGTGAAAAGGAATGGAAAAAGAAAGAAACCACGCCATTTCAAGTCAAGTAGGCAGCCAACTTTCATAGAACAGATGAGAAATAAATAAGCCCTTTAAGCAGAATCATTAATAAAAAGTATATAGGAAATGAAATTTCAGCCAGAGCTTAGGAAATGGCCTAGAATAACTGCCCTAGGAAAACAGAGATGCATTTTGGTCCAGATCAACATGGAAAATGGAGACTGATCCTTTTTGGAAGAAAAATCTGAGGGGATTTCGAGAGGCAAGGAGAAAAGGAATATGAGCAAAATCAGTCCCAGGGCCGTTTCCTGGCCATGGGGGCCCAGTCCATCACCATCAGTAATTTAAGCTATGAACCACAATCTCCGTCTCCTTTGCAATGAACCTCATTTTGTCATCTGCCTGCTCTCAGTGCCACGCCACTCTTGCAGAGAGGGCTTCCTCTGCTCCACGCTGAGGGTAAGCCTTACCAAGTGCTTCTAGAGAGTTGAGAGAGTCCTCTCCTAGGCAGGTTGATAAGAAGTCCAGGGGTCCCCAAGGAGAGAGGGGTCTGGGGTTCTCAAGGAGGAAGAAAGGACAAACTTGTTTTCCCTCTACATTCCTTAGGATTATATAGCAATAATGAATCCTGCTTGAGGATAGTCTCTGGAAAAAACCTTCTGGCTAATCCTATTATCTTAAAATGCAAATTATGGGAGTAGGTCTAGTGAGGTCTTTACAACTTCCAGACATTCTTTTGATTCATTGTAATAACTAATTGGAGAGTATATAACTCCATTGCTAACATTAGCAAGGGGGTACTCTTTCTGCCCCCTTCTGATGCCTATGTCAGAAGCTTTCTCTATCTCCTTTATACTTTAATAAAATTTTATTACACAAAAGCTCTGAGCAATCCAGCCTCATCTCTGGCCCCGGATTGAATTCTTCTCCTGAGGCCAAGAATCCTGGCATCTTTTCGTGGTTCAGCACCAACCTTTCAGAGTCGGGCTTTTCCTGCAGTTGTAGGATTACCAGTTTAGTGCCTGCCTGCCGAACAGTGCACGGGCTCCCACGGACAAACACGCAGCACTGATTGTCTCTTCTCACTCACCCGACATCAAGGTTTGCACGTTACAAGATCAGTCAGTATCTGTCAGTCAATGAACGGATGAGTGAACGCCGTATAGTCAGCATGCCGAGCACTGTGAGCTAACTTAGGTAAAATGCAGCTACGTCTCTCATTTGACTCTAAGACAACTTCATCCACTGCATTGAAAAGTTTCTGAGGCCTAGTTGTGTCATAAAATCCACAACTTGTCATATTTTGTCTGTGACTTTTTCTTAGCCCTATGATCGATGTGATATATGGTGTGATGAAATGCAGTGTATACTTCGTACGAATCAGATTTCCACCTGTAACATAGAAACAGTGAAGACTGAAAAGAAAGGGAAAGTCGCTCAGTCGCGTCCACCTCTCTGCAAGTCCACAGACTATACGGTCCATGAAATTCTCCAGGCCAGAATACTGGTGTGGGTACCCTTTCCTTTCTCCAGGGGATTTTCTCAACCCAGGGATCGAACTGAGGTCTCCCACATTGCGGGCAGATTCTTTACCAGCTGAGCCACAAGGGAAGCCAATGAACACTAGAATGGGGAGCCTGTCCCTTCTCCAGTGGATCTTCCAGACCCAGGAATTGAACCAGCGTCTCCTGCATTGCAGGCGGATTCTTTACCACCTGAGCTATCAGGGAAGCCCTGTAACTTAGAAGTCTGACTTATTAAAACAACTAAAATGCAATCATAAAGGGTATTTCTTACTTCTTTAATCTACAGATACAAATATGGGCCTTCAAAGGAAGAAACCATCAGGTAAAATAAACTTCAAATTGTTTGGGGAGTGGAATAGCTTTTTAAACTATGCGATTTTTGTTTGAAGAGCTTGGAACCAATGATTATCATTACTATATTAGACTAGAATGAGATTTACATAGGAAGGAATTGGACCTTCAACTTGGCAGCTAATTTTTAAACTTTTGCACTTGTAACATTATAACATTGTAGCATTAAAAAGGACTGCAATTTTATAGATATAAATATGTTATATAAAAATAATAACTAAAAATCTTTAGAGTTAAAAAAGTTTTTTAAAAATATATATAATATTGTAAGTCTTAAAAAATTCTAAGAAATGGATACTAGTTGTATCACTATTACTATTATTATTACTATTCCCACTTTTCACAATTTTGGAGGTTAAATGTTTTACCCAAAGTCCCACAAGTAAAGGGAAAAGCTGACATTAAATGCAAATTTCCTGACTCTAAAATTTCAGTCTCTTTCCCTCAAACTTCTATAGCACAGTGTAGAAAGCCAAAAAGGAATGAAAAATTCATCATTCATTACAGCTCTTTCACAGCAGAAAGGTAACTGAAATAAAGGAATATGTGTCCAATATCTCCACATATTACAGTACTTCTAGAAAAAAATGAACTATTTTTTTCCTGCATATTCTATATTCAATACCAAATTGAACTAGCTTTGTGTCCATTTGTGACTCTCTTCCTTTATAAACACTTTCTGGAAAATGACTTTAGGGAATGGTCAGATTTTTAATCACAAGCACACGCTAGATGTCTGAAATGTCAATTATTCTGCAGGATTTTGAAACTCCCGTAAGACCCTGGCGAGGAGAACAGGTGGGCAGGTGAGGAGCCGCTGCCCTGCATGACCCAGACTTTCTTCTTCCTCCTCCTTTTTTCTTCTCCCTCTTTGAGGTTAAATGAAGAACAAGAAAGGCTCTAACAGGGTTCCTTAGTCACACCTTGGATTTCCCTATGCCATTTGATGAATACTGGTTGAATGAATGCCCCTGTGAATAAATATTTCCAGACGACTGGTAGCTCTTATAACATGAAATATAAGAATGAAATATTTATATAAGAATATAAATATAAGAATGAAATATGTATGAAATACAGCACACTTAACCAGAGGCAGGAAAAGATGCGTGTGTGCATGTGTGCTCAGCCACCTCCAACGCTTTGCAACCCCATGGACTGCAGCCCGCCAGACTCCTCTGTCCGTGGAGCCTCTAGGCAAGAACACTAGAGGGGGTTGTCATTTCCTCCTCTAGGGAATCTTCCCAGCCCAGGTATTAAACCCGCATCTCCTGCATTGCAGGTGGATTCTTTATCACTGAGCCACCAGGGAAGTCCCAAGGGAAAGATGAGGATGGAAGAAATGCCTAAGACACTTTGACGTTTGTACTGAGTTCTAAACGGCAGATGAAGGATGCGACGAAGCCCTGAGAATAGCCCTCCTCTCTTCTGAGCAGCAGAAGGCAATAGTTGTTTTTCGAGTCATAACTCCACAGGCCATGTGACAGAGACAGTCTGCAGGAAAACTGGAGTTCTCAGTCATAAAAATCCATTTCTGGTTTGAAAGCCTTTCAGAGGGATCACGGTTGCAGCATATTTGTCTTTAGGGTATTTCTACTGATCAAAGTACTTGGCCAGTGGTACATGATGGAGTATCAAATCCTGCCTCTGTTTATACCCTCATGGGACTTGCTAGCCTCGTAAATGCTAGTTAGCTCACACAGTGCTTGGAAAAGACTGTTTTTCAGCACATCTCCTAAATGTGCAGCTCTGGTGGAAGTGCTAAGAAGGAGGGCTCGTGGGTAATTGCCTCTACCCTCCCACTAGAGCAGCCGCCGCCAGTTACATCGTGTGTGTCTGTGCTCCTCCTGGAGAGGGAGGCGGTGCGTCTCACTGTCGCCTCTCTCAGCGACTGCCAATTAGCAAAAATTAATGAGACACTTGACCGGCACTTCTGCTGGAGCTGCAGGAAGCTCTGGGCTGGGATTCCCTCGCTTCCTTTCCCGTTTCCCAGCACCGAAAACCCCAGGTGTCTGCGGTGATGTCGGCCCCTCCGTTAGCCACGAGTGCAAAGCAGC